TATTCGCCAAAACACAAGAAGAAGAAAGCCAGACAAGAACGCGCCAGGGTGGTTTAATGCGAAGTAAACACAATCAATCGTGAAGGGTTTAAAAGGTTTGCAGGCTGCGCCCCCCCAAGCCCCCCCGCTTTTTTTTGGCTAAACTCCCCGCTCACTGGCACGAAGAGATGCACAAAAACGTATTCGCCAACACAGAAGAAGGAGAAAGCCAGACAACAACGCGTCAGGGTGGTTTAATGCGAAGAAAACACAGTCAGTCGTGAAGGGTTTAAAGGGTTTGTAAATACAACAAAGCGTCAGGGTGGCTTAATGCGAAGTAAACACAATCAATCGTGAAGGGTTTAAAAGGTTTGCAAATGGGGGGGGCTGCGTCCCTCCCAACCCCCCCGCTTTTTTAGACTAAACTCCCCGCTCACTAAAGGCACGAAAGATGCACAAAAACGTATTGGCCAAAACACAAGAAGGAGAAGTCCAGACAACAACGCGTCAGGGTGGTTTGATGCGAAGAAAACACAATCAATCGTGAAGGATTTAAAAGGTTTGCAAAGGGGGGAGGTCCCCGATGAACCCTCCACAGGGATACTGCGTGTCGAAGCGCCGGCGCTGTGGCGCGGTGCAAATTTTCAACGTCCCCGATGAAGCTTCCACAGGGATCCTGCGTGTCGAAGCGCTGGCGCTGTGGTGCGGTGCAAATTTTCTACGTTCCCGATGAACCCTCCACAGGGATCCTGCGTGTCGAAGCGCTGGCGCTGTGGCGCGGCGCAAATTTTGTGTGTCCCCGATGAACCCTTCACAGGGATCCTGCGTGTCGAAGCGCTGGCGCTGTGGTGCGGTACAAATTTTCAACGTCCCCGATGAAGCCTCCACAGGGATCCTGCGTGTCGAAGCGCTGGCGCTGTGGTGCGGTGCAAATTTTCTACGTTCCCGATGAACCTTCCACAGGGATCCTGCGTGTCGAAGCGCTGGCGCTGTGGCGCGGCGCAAATTTTGTGTGTCCCCGATGAACCCTTCACAGGGATCCTGCGTGTCGAAGCGCTGGCGCTGTGGTGCGGTGCAAATTTTCTACGTTCCCGATGAACCCTCCACAGGGATCCTGCGTGTCGAAGCGCTGGCGCTGTGGCGCGGTGCAAATTTTCTATGTCCCCGATGAACCCTTCACAGGGATCCTGCGTGTCGAACCTGAACAGAACCCTAAACCCTAAACCCTGCAAGGCAATGCAACACGGCCAAGCAAACCACCAAAAAAAAAAAATGCCAAAAAAAAAAAAAAAATTACCAAACTAATTCCAGACCCGTATGGTTTAAGGACCACCTTGTCCCGTGCATTTACTCTACCCCAAAACCACTAAAGCCTAAACCCTAAACCCTAGATTTATCTACTCCCAACACTTGAAGCCCTGAACCCTTAAGCTTGAAAGTTTAGAGCCATTGACGCTCCAATTCGCTGCCCTGCCAGAACGTGCCTTGCTCCAGAAAGGAATATGACGCACTGTGCTGCTCTTTTGCACTTGGCTTCGGGAGGGTGCTGACTTTAGGGTTTAGGGTTTCGGTTCGAGGGTTGAGGGTTTTGGTGTGTAAGGGCGGGTTTCTTTTATGGTTCGGGGTTTACCTATAGTCTCCATTGTAGTTCCTTTTCTTGGTTGACCAGTTGTATGGTTCGGATCCTGTAATAGTGATTTTGGTTAACCAAAAGAAGGAACTACAATGGAGACTTTAACCCTAAACCCTGAACCCTAGCTATAGGCATGATTCACGACTGAGGGCCGGCCTGGCGCATCGCGAAAGTCTTCTGGCTGTGTCGGGTTTTGGGGTTGTGCAGACATACCGGCCAGGGTGTACATAATTACCAAGCCCTCTTCCTTGTTAGGGTCTCCTCATAAAGCGGGGTAGTCCCAATGCTCGCTGCGCACTCCTTGAAAAAGACTTGAAAATGTGAAACTTATTAAGCCTGATTATGCCCCTTAGTGCCTACACGCTAAGCCTCGATGACAACAAGGACACCATTCCCCAGATCCCACACCTTGCCTAGCTGGTGTGCAATTGAGCTACCTCGCACAAGGTTTGCGCAGAAGCATGTGTGTTTACAGACCTACGTACCTACATACCCGTGCAGTTGCGGCGGGGGAGAAAGAGAGAGCGAGAGACATGTTCCCGGAGATATGCCAACATCCAGGCATACACAGAGATCTTCAGTTGTTGTCGTGCATAGTCTGATGCATGGCCGTTTAAGCATTTTAGCATAGAGGTCTGTATCAGGGATAACCTAGACTCTACGCCTCTTCACCCCATGACGAGCTATCCCGCTGAGGTGTCTGCCGGAAGCCGGAGAACACAGTTCCTTGGATGATCCGATGCCATGCGCATGTAGGGACTGGGGTGGTTAGGGCTTGGCTGAGGGTTTAAATCGCGGACTTGTAGCGGAATTCCCTGCAAGTTCATCGCTGACCACCAGTCTTCCCAAAACTTTGAGTACCCTAAACCCTAAACCGAATATGCATGGGATCAGATCCTCCACTGTCACTAAGAATCCGGGCACCACGGCTATCCAAGCTTGTGGGGACAGCGACGTGTCTCTGGAGTCACTCGGTCTGACGTTGTGGCATTTGGGAGTTTCCGAAAATAGGGGACCCTTATACAGTACCCTGAGTAGTAGGACCCTTATTATAAGGACCCCCCAAATAAGGTACCCCTAATTTTGGGCTTCGGGTTCAGGATTTAGGGATTCAAGTTTGCAGTGCCGCTTCCAGGGTTCGTTTAGGGTTTATAGGGTTTAGGGTTTAGGGAAGACGGATGAGTTTGGGCTCTTCGCTTGATTTTTGTTTGCCGAGGCTTTGTATCTTTTCACGTTCAGATGTATGCAGAGAAGTCTAAGACCATTCCATGCAACAGCATATTCCAGACCCGGCCGGCATGTGGGATGTGGACCATGTGCGATGCAAAATTTTCGAATGACTACGATGTGAAGGAATGGATTTCGAGTGGCTTCGCATTTCAATCCCCAAAATTAAGGGTACCTTATTTTGGGGGTCCTTATAATAAGGGTCCTACTACTCAGGGTACTATATAAGGGTCCCCTAGCTTGGGGGTCGGTAGGCCGGGAGTACACCAAGCACTGCAAATTGGATGTCGCGGACAGCGACGTCAGCACCGACAGTACCGACAGTAGGAATTCACAGATTTCAGCTGGTTTCAACCAGATCCCCCTTTATCTCAACGTCTAGGTGTCTGTCTCTTCATCTATCCATTCGTCTGTCTACCTGCCTTTCTAGTTTTCTTCCTATCTAGTGCCAACCTGCACTAATTCATCTTTTTTTACTGCCTGCCTATCTTATCTATCGAACCTTTCTAACCTATTGAGTCTATCTATCGATCTATGTGTCATCTACTTGACTACTTGTATCTACTCTATCGGGCTAGGTCTGCGTATCTATGGGTATCTCTCGCTCTCTCTCTCTCCCTCTCTCTCTCTCTCTCTCTCTCTCTCTCTCTCTCTCTCTCTCGATCGCATGCATGTATGTGTGCATGTATGTATGTATGCATGTTTAGACATGCATTGCTATGGATTTCGAAGGCCAAAACTGTTGACTCTTCACCGCAAGCCATGTCCAACCTGAGACCCACGGCTTCGGCGGGAGTGTTCACAGTGTTGTTGTCATAACTAGGATCCCAGGCTAAGGGTTTAGGGTTTAGGGTCTAGTCTGGGGGACTTCATCCTCTGAAACTCCCATGCCGGTGACTCAGGCAAGCAGAGACCATGTGCAAAACCAACAACGCCTTCCTCCTCGGCGCATTCTATCCACCTCGCCTTACGGTGCGGCCCACAGAGTGGCGTACTAGTAGCCGCTTGGGGCGCGGGGCGTCTGCTTCGTATGCGTATTTGGTCTCGTTCGACGGGTCCAAAAGAAGCAATAATTACGTAGTCGGCTTTAGGGTATTAGGTATGTAGGTTGGTACTTTGGAAAGTATATGATTACTAGGTACTTGGACCGTTGAGGTCTGGGTTAGGGGGCACGGTTTCTTGGTAGCTGAGTTGGTATATCGTGAATCTTGCTGGATCCTTATGAGGCCTTAATACTTAACCCTCGACCCGAAACCCTGATTTTTTATTCCCCATTTACCAACGGCTTAGGACCAGGGTGTAGCTTGGGGTCATCGAGTTGGGAGGTCTCCGGTTTGGGGTTCTCTATGGTTTGTGGCACAACCCTAAACCCTAAACCCGAGACCTTACTGGTTCGCAGTTGGGAGTTGCCGAAAATGGGGGACCCTCATATAGACTTCCTTTAAGGGGTTACTACAAGAGTACGAAAAGGGTTCCTTTAAACGGCTCTATCAGGGTTTATTGGTTTGGGAGTTTCCGAAGATAGGAGACCCTAATATCGTACCCTATATAGTAGGATCTTTATTCTAAGGACCCCAAAAGTAGGTGCCCCTAATTGTCGGAAACCCCGAATTGGGAAGGAGAGATCGTTTGTTGGCGACTGACCCTTGAAAGTTCAAAGGCGAAGCTGGCTTTTCCAAGCCAGGTTTAGGGTTTAGGGGTTGAGGGGTTTAGGGTTTAGGGTTAGGGAAGTCGGACTAGCAATCCTAAACCCCTCAATCCTAAGCTTGCTACACAGGCAATCGCACTAGCAATCCCAAAGCCCTAAACCCAAAGCCCCAGAGCCCTGAACCTATAGACCTGTACTGCGAAACCAGGCCCTGAATTAACGGTTTAGGGTTTAGGGTTTAGGGTCTAGGGTTTAGGGTTTAGGGTTTAGGGTTTAGGGTTTAGGGTTTAGGGTCTAGGGTTTAGGGTTTAGGGTTTAGGGTTTGAATTCTATCTTCTTAAGGACTTCAACGTGCTACTGTAGTAGGTGCGCGCGGTTGTTCAGAGCTTAGGCTTTACAACATCGAAGTTTCCGCACATTAGGGGTACCTTTTAATTGGAGTCCTTATAATCATTATCCTACTATTTAGGCTACTATTTTCGGCATTTCAATGCAATCAGTGGTGTCCGCTGCCTAATTACCTGCACAAAGCACCCGGAAAGGCACAAAAGCCACGGCCAACGGGTGTCGCCAGAAAGACTGTGGTGCCTCAAGCAGTGGAGAACCTTCATTCAAGAAATCCTCCCAAAGCTGGCACAACGTCTCTGGCAAAAACTTAAGCGGGTCGCGAATCACGGTTGTGTGAGACACTACGCCTCTGTTCTGTGACCACACAACTTCCCAGTCATCAGTCAGAATGAACAGCGTAGAGGCCCGGGTCCCGTAACTCGCACGCTGGCGAGAGATTGCCTCTCCCCAGTCAAAAGCCCGAACTGACTTTGTGAATCTTGCCCTCGATTGCAGAGTCGGCGATCCTCGCTGGATCTCGTCAGCATGCGGGGGCTTCCTGTCAAGAATCTGTTGCAAGGCACTGCACAGATCTTCCACCTGACTTTCTGTCCACTGTTGCAAGTCGCGATCGTTTGCAACCAATTCAATTTCTTCAAAGAGGTAGTGAACGACTTGCTGGATCTCCTGGGTGTACAGAGGGTACTTGCAGACCTTTCGCCATAGAGCATCAGCAATGCTCTGCCCCGGGGAAACATCTAGGACAGTATCGCAAAGATCCTCATGCAACTGTCTCTGCCAGATGGACCATGGCTGCTCCTCCCACTGCACCTCCGCCGTCGCAGCAGAGGGCGGTGCGGGTGTGAAGGTCTCCGCTTCCCTCTGTCGTCTTCGCTTGCTTCCGTATCCCGGCATAAGAACCTTGCTGGGACGAAGCCGACGTTGGAGCTGTCGAACACACTTACTCGAGGAGCGTAGGTGGTCCTCGACACGTCCATAGGTCCAGAACTCCTTGCCACATGCTCCACAGGCCGTAGATTGGATATACCGACGGTATTCTGCACATCTCCCGTGGACCTTGAAGAGGTGCACAGACAAATTGGCCTTCGAGCGGAACATCTTGTCACACATCCGACACCACCATGAGCCACACACCTCTGTACTATCTGGGTCAGGACGCAGGCTGCGGTAGAGGTACCAAAGACACAGCTCAATCGTAGCCTGCGTCTTGTAGTGCTCAAAGGTCTCCTCATTACGTTTAGCCGCACGTCTCTTAACCCGAGCTGGGTGTTCACGGAGAAGATGCCACCACTGGGGCCAGGCTGCTGCACACACCGAGGGCCAACCCTGGAGGTCACCTTGAACTAACCAGTGCAAATCGTCACAAAGTTGATCTGCCCACTGGCCAGCTGCTTGTATGGCCGCCCACAGAATGGGAGGGCCTGTGGCAGCCAGAGAAACCAAAGCAGAGATACGATCCCGCCTTGCAAACTGCTCCAAAGGCCAACAGCCGGTGATGATGTGTGCAAGCGGTGTGGGGATCTTGTAGACCTCCTTGTCCGGGACGAGTCTGCAAAGCAAACGCCTCACCAACCTTGAAAAGGCATCGCTCATGGCGTCCCAAGCTTGGCCCACGGCCAACCAAACCTCTAGGTTGAAATACGAGGCCACCACAGTAGTACGGAACAAGGCCACTCGCGTAGACAAGGCCAAGTCACGATTCTGCAGTAGCAGGTCTTTGGCACTGTCATATGCTGTAGCAGCCAGAGCCGTCCTGTGCCGGGCTTCCTGGTTCAGCCTGGCAACTGGGTCCACCATACATCCCAGATGCTTGTAGTGGGGGACAATGGGGATCGCTTCCTGCAGATCGGGCAGGAAGAGCTCAGGCTTGCCATTGGCAAAGCATTGTTTTCGGATCTTGGTCGATCCCTTGCCCTTCAGGCTCAGCATGGCACTCGTTTTGTGCCGCTTTAGGTTCGGGTCGAGCCCGTGCGAGCGAAAGGCAGTCAGGACAAGGGCTCCAACACGACCTGTCTTCTGCAACATCTGCTCAGCATTGTCAGCCTGCAGTGCATAGGCAGAGTCATCTGCCCAAGTTGTGTCCCAAGCAGGGTGCCTGGACAACTCACCCGCTGGTTTGAAGACACCCGTGCTCTCATCAAGGGGCAGGTCAAAGTTGATACCTTCGCCCTCCATCATCTCGTGGACATGGTAGAGAATGCGCGCATAAATAAATGCAAAGACACAGTCTGCCCACGAAGCCCCCGGGCGGGAGCCCGCGGTGGCATGGCACAGGGTATGCCCATCCGTATAGCGCGTGGTAAACCACGTGGCTTTGTGAAAGTCAGCCACGGCAGACCTGATGGGATCGGGGATGTCCGCTGCCTTGAACATTCCTCCATTGAGGATCAACTCGGAGAGGGCCTCAATGTCCTGTCCATCTAGACCAAATCTGAAAAACAGCTCCACGACCTTCTTGTCAACACGAAGATCACCTGTTGCCAGTTGGCGGACCAATCTGTAGTACGCCGCCTTTGTGTCAATGAAGAGCATCGCAGCGCAAAGTCCCCTCTGTTGACACTTACGCAGGTGTTCCAAGACGAAAAGAGAAGGGAAAAGGACCGGTAGACCTGGTCGAGTACCACAGTGCAGTGGGTGAAGGAAGGCACCGGTCTCATCCTTGACCTTATCGCGCATCACCCTGTGGAGGGCCTTGGCTATAAAGCTCGAAATGTAAATGCTTCGATGGTTGGCAACCTCCGCCGGAGACCCACTCTGCTTGAACATCTCGAACAAAACACCCCCACGCCACTGCAGTGGCTGGCGCCCGAGAACCAGGGCCTTCACAAACAGAGGCTGGAGGAGGGCTGCAAAGCAGCTAGGGCTGACCCGCAGGAGGTCACTAGGGACCTGATCAAGTCCTGCAGCCTTGTTCTTCGGCAATCGTCTGAGGGCTGCTTCAATCTCGAGCCGGTTGGGCAGGAGCTGCCAGTCCCAAGCCGGGCTGTCCTCAACAGTTCCGGCGGAAGCATCCTCGATGAAGGCACTGGTTTTCACCACCGTCCCAGCTTCCTGCTCGCCAAAGAACCGAAGCCAGATACCATCTCTGTCAGCTGCAGTCGCCGCTTCACAGCCCGTCATGGGGTCCAGGAGTTTGGGCATTTCACGCCGTACCGGCGCCTTTGCCCTCGCACCAATTCCAGCTCGCTTCGCTCGGTGGAGAATAGCACACACTCCCTGATCCCCCTCTGTAGCAACCCGTCGAAGAAAACCATCCTTGGCTTCCGAAATTAGCCTGCGCATCCTCAATGTCACAAACTTGATCGCACAGGCTACAACCTGGTACAGAACAGACTGCCGGCGCACAGCAAGTAGCACCGTTGTATCAGGTCCAGCTCGCCAACAAAGGAGCGCAGCCGGGAGGAGACTGCGCCAACCCAGTAGGCGGGCTCGTGTGCGCCACTTCAGTTGATTCTTCAACTGCCGTAGTCGCCATACCTCCTCTGGGATATAGGAGGCCCTTGCCAGAGCATCAGCTTTTGGGAATTGGGCAGACATGAACTGCTGGAGATGGGTCTCAAGCAAAGAACAATGCTCATCTGGGGAAACTTCCCACCTCGGTTGCTCAAACTGAGCGCACATCTGTTCCACAGCATCACGACCGGCATCGGTGGCCATGGCCTCCGTGTCAAACTTGATCCGCTTCAACCTCGCACGGGCCTTTGCCTTGCCAAGACGTCCTACAAGTCTGACAGTAACAGCTTTGTGATCCAGGTTCGGGCTGCCGTTGTCCAAGGCAGCGTTTACCGCACTGCGACAACCCAGAATGTCCGCTCCCCCTCCCAAAAAGAGGTAATCAATGCGACTTTCCATTCCAGTACAGTGGGTGTAGGTAGAGGACTCGCCTTGGTGGAGATGTCCAAAGGTTGCCGGGACCCAAAGGCCAAGCTCACGGCACACCTCAGCAAGAATGGTTCCGTTGGCATCGGGGTCATCAAACTCCAAATCTCCTGTGACGTGCATCACATTGAGCGGGAGTCTTGCATTGGCATCCATGCCTATAACAACCAAAGACCATTTCTTCATCCGGCATAGTACCCCTTTTAGGTCTGTCACAAACTGGTCACGTTCCATCGCACGACCTGCATGCGGGCAATGCCCCGAGATCAGGCCGATCCTGAGGCCCTTCACGCTGATTTGCACAGCAAGGAGGCGCGGGCCCTGGAACACAACACTGATATCCTCCTCCTTGGGGAGAACCTTCTGCCCATTGATTGTCATGAGCCCGCTCTGCCTGTTGACCCAAACAGCAACACCCCAGTATCTCTCAGAAGGTGACATCAGCCTGTAGAAGCGCTTGCTGAGGCACTGCCCGTCACTACTCTTGGTCTCCTGCAGAAACACAACGTTGTAGCCATAGAAGTCAAACTGTTCTTCCATGTACCTGTGGGAGCCGCCAAGTCCTTGCACATTGAATGAGCAAGCGAGCATCTCGAACTCAGTGCTATCCTCAGCGGGTCTACCTCCGGCCTCATCAACTGTGGGCACAAGCTGTTGGGGTTGCAGCCGGAAGTCGGTATGGAACTGCTCCGGCCAGCACATACAGTCGCCCTCAACCAGAGATGAACCTGTCCTCCTTGCAGCAATATCAAAGCTTATCCAGTCCAAATTGGCCGTCAGGAAGGTTTGAATCGTACTGCTGGGCGGCTCAGCAAAGGTGCAGTCTCCCTTCGCTGCAGCTTTGGCAACAGCATCAGCTGTTTCATTCCATCCGTGCCCCGCGTGTCCTTTGATGTGCTGAATCCGCAAATGCACGCCGTCAATCTCACGGAGGATAAGCTCAAGGTTGTGGCTGTGCATAGCAAGCTCATTTGGCGGGGCCCACTGACCTGTCGCAGCTCTGCCAGCTGCGAGACAGTCAACAAAGATCTGGGCTTCAATCTGGGGAATGAAGCATCTGAGCTGCAGGAGCCAAAGGAGAGCTGCTGCTACTGCAACCTGTTCTGCATGTAGAGCGGGAGGCTGTTCCACCGGCCAATCGGTGCAGGCCGCACCCTCCAGCGGCCCCCCAAGCACACCAAAGACGGCACACACGGCACCAATCTTTAGCAACATGACCACCGCATATCCACTCCGGCCAGTTCTTTCACATGCCGAACCGTCCGTATAGACATGAAGCTGGATGGGCCCCGTAGGTTTCGCCTTAAGCAGGGAGGGCCATGCGGGGGCGGCTTCAACCACTTTCTTTGCCTCAGCATTCAGTTCCACTTTGTCCATGGACCACTCCAACCAATCTCCAGGCCATGGTTTGCACAAGCCCCAAAGCTCATGAGAGGTGTGTGGGAGACAGAGTCGTGACACGGTGAGGTCAAACTGCTGTCTCGACACACAATCTGCAAGACAAAGGGTGGCAGGGTGGGACTGCCTGCCACGTCCCGTTCTTGGGGACCGGCTGCGCGGGCGATTGACTGGCTGAGGAGGAGGAGGGCCATTGGGTGGAGCACCCGGTGGGTGGGGGCTTGGTGACGAAAGATCACTGGAATCAGGTAGAGCATCGCAACTCGACTCATCATCCTCATCCATGTCCAGTGTTCCGTCAGTCATAGACAAATCTGCTTCCGAAGCCAACACCAGGAACATCTCCAAGACCTCTCCATTGCGAACTCTCAGTTCTGTTGTATCATCAATGGTCTCACCACTCTTCACCATGAGCTGCCAACCATCAGGGGCCCCAACCTGCAGGCCCTCATAGTATGACATAGGACTGAACCGGTCCCCTGCGATTTGGGCCCACTGTGGAAAATGGGCGAGACCCCTCAGGTCTAGGAAAATCACCAGGGACTCCGGTGCCATCTGCTCCACGCCATCTAGGACGGCAATCTGGCCCCAAATGCGTCTGCCCAGATGGGAGAGGTGGGTGAGTCGATCTTCGGGCACGACAATCCACACCTCACCGTGCTCGTAGTTCAAGGCTTCCTCAGCCGACACTTCAAGTGTCCTCTCGTCGTCGGAGGCTATCTCTTGCACAACCTGGTCGTCGGCTGACTGATAGACCGTGTGCAAACCAGCAACCGGGTCGGGCAAGGCCGCGTTGGGGTTCCAACGACGAGGCTCGACCAGACGCGGCTCTATGTCATCAGTCCATCGTGGGTCCATGCCATCCCTGACAATCTTGATTACCCCACCCTGGACTCGCTGGTAGATCTGTCTGCTTCTCATGCGCCTGTCGCTGCCAAAGGCATAGGCAGCCAAGCCGTCAGGTTGTCCGATCACGAGGCACATCATCACATTCTCCTTTGTGATGTCGCCGTTGACATAGGTCGCGAAGATGCCCCCGTCAATGGCACTGCAATCGAGCACCACAACTGTTTTGTCGCTCTCACGTATCCAGGGAGGTATAGCGACGAAGCTCGCAAATTCTCGGCCGACCTGAGGTGTAGTACACACAAACTCTGTGGCATAATCGGGCATCACAGAGCAGGAGTCCTTCAATGCCTGTCCCAGTCGTGCCGTAGTAGTGGGGAGCCTCACCTCAATGTCGACGATCTCGGCCTCGTAGAAGGGCGAGGCAACCCAAAGGGTGACATGGACATCGGCCACCTCCGCAGCTTCCGGGTCCGGCTGTGGCTCTTCTAACGACATCTCATACCGCACCGGGGGGGCTTCTCGACTGAGATGCTCCAATGGCCGTTGGGCAACCAACCGCGCCTCGGCTTCAGCAAACTGCTCTCGCCTAGAGCGTTGGCCAGCCATAATCCGACATCGGAAATTGTAGCCGTGGTAGGATTCCTCGCCAAGGTAGCACCCACAGGAACAGCTCCAACATGTCTCGGCAGCAGAAACATTCCCACCACCATGCAGACTCGACTGGAGGTCCAAGCCAAAGGCCTTCTGTTCTTGCGCCGGAAGGGCGCTCCACACATGAAGATTCCGAGGGCTGCAAGCTGAACCCCCAGGAGGCTGAGCCCAATAGCAGCCATATTCACCTGCTGCCAGATAGCCCAAGCCAAAAACTGTTGTAGGGCATCCCCGTAGAACGCCTCCAAGATATCAAAGACGTCGAAGATTTTTCGCACATAGAAGCGGTCATGGCCTCCCGGAGGGCCGTGCCGTTCTTGATCATGGACCCGGTCCTGAGACCCCAGGTCCCACTTGCACTGCCAAAGCCCTGTGGATAGCAAGGGCCCACCCCTGCCACATAGGTTCATAGACTCCGCAACAATCTCACACCGGCTGCCACCAAAACTGTTGTACACATTCGGCTTCCACCACCAATGTGCCTCATACTGGTTTGCAAGCATCTGTTGCCAGCCAGGCATTCCAACAATGGACACACCGAAAAAGCCATCGTGGATTCCCTGTCTGGCAGGCATTGCTAGTTCTACTCCGCGTGGCGCTCGCCGGAGGCCTTTAAATCCGAGATGAGGTCCTCCTCGCTTTCCTCGTCGACATCCAATGGCCCCTGATTCTCCTCCTGCATGGCGGTGGCTCTTCGCTCCTCCAACTTGTCGGCCAAAGCACCCGGTCTCGTTGTCTTGACCGGTCCCGTAAGGTGTTGCTTGACCGAGACCCGGGGTGCACCACTCTGAGATCTTGACCGTGTCCTCATAGTCGTGAGGGGGGTAACCTTGTTGCCAGGGGAGGTCAGGTAGGGATCGCTGGCAGCCGAAACATCTGCGGCACTGTAAGTGCCTTCCTCGCCAAAGGTGGGGCTCGACAAAAGCCCTTTTCCGGGAGGCGAAAACGATGGCGGCTGATGTGGCTTGCGAGGGGGAGTCTTCGCCGCCTTTTCCGGGACTGCAAGCCCCAAGGCTCCGAGGAGCTTCTGCCGAGTGGCTGGTGGCAAACCACCAGCTTCCTGGGCACCGGTGATCAAGTCTGGAAGAGCTGCCCAGGGGTCCTCTGTACCTGTCATCAACTCGTCCCATTCCGCTGCAGCCTCCGAGTCCACTGCCGGGGCAGACACAGGTGGCTTCATGGTGCCAGATGGGTCCACTATCAGGTCCCGGAGAGCCTGTAGGGCCTCTTCTTTCATCTGTGCACATTCCGTGCGCTCTTCCTGTACTCGGACAACACGATCTCGGTACCTTTGGCGCTCCTTCATGAAGGACTGCTGCAAACCTTTGCGGTAGCTGTCCCACTGCTCCTCTGCTTCTTGTTGGTCGGCATCGCATCTTCTCAACTTGCCGTCCGCCTTTCTGAGGGCATTGACCATCTTCTGGACATACTTCGCCAGGCCACCGCTGTTGTCGGGCAGGGCATTCACGACCTCCTGCTCGTAGTGGCTTGCCGGCTTCCTTGCATCCTTCCCTCCTTTTCCCTGCTTGACAGGGATCATCTCGTAGGAGGGGAATTGGTGACCTGCCTGCTCGGGAGCAGCCTCCTTGCCGGACTTCTTGCCTTTGCCCTTCGGTTGCCAGTCGTTCCAGTCTGGTTGACCACGAGAACGCCCAGAGTATGGCTGCTGCCCATAGCCATAGCTTTCCTCCTTCCATGCTGCCTGCTGACCTCCGCGCTTGCCCATAGAGTGCTTCAGCTCTTTATACACAGGAGCATTGTGATGCCTCGAGAGAAACACAAGGTCTGCACGCGCAGGCTCACGTCCACGTGAGCGGGCCAGGCGAATCCTGGCTCTTGCAGAAGAGCGCTTTGCCCGCGCCCTTCTGTGCCAGCAGGGGGACTTACGCTGAAGTCCTATGGCTCAAAGTGCGCAATGCACAAGGGGCTTGGCTATGCGACTCCTCAGGACGCTCGATCCGAAACCCTTTAGGCTACTATATGTATATATATATATATATATATATATATAGATATAGCTATATATATATATATATATAAGTATAAGGGCCCCCTATTTTCGGCAACTCCCAGATCCCCCTTGCAGGAGCCTTAGGCCGCCAGAAGCTGAGGCCCCAAAGCCATGGCGAAACTCTGAACACCCAAGCCTCGATATGAGAGTTTCCGAAAACAGGGGACCCTAATATGGAGTTTCTTTTACGAAAAGGGTTCCTTTAAAGGGCTCTATCAGGGTTTAGGGTTTCGGGAGTTTCCGAAAACAAGGGGACCCTAATACAGTACCCTAAATAGTAGGACCCTTATTATAAGGACCCCAAAATAGGGTACCCCTAATCTTCGGAACTCCCACATCTAGACGTTGCAAGCCCTGCATGGCGGTTCGTGGGTAGTTATGATTGGGGTGATAAGTTGCCAATAAGATGGCATTTCAGTTAAAAGCATAGTTACCCTACTTATAACCACCCATAAACCTCCAAGTACAGCTTCCAATCCACAGCCAGTTGCCCATGGACCCTGACCCCGAAGAGCACAAACAAAAAAAAAACAAACAGCCAGCACTGCAACCCAACCCCCAAATCACTAAACCCCGAACCCCAGATCTCGAGACACATGCCATACTGGAACCCTAAAATCCTACATTTTGGACAACCTTTTTTTTGGATGACGGTTTTGGGAAACAAAAAAATCTACTCTTTCAGATGACACTAAACCCTAAAAGCAAGAATTCTAAAAGGATTAAACCCAAAACCGAAAGGCATTGCACTGAATCAAGGCACCCTACACCCTAAACTCCCAAATAACCCCACAAGCCCCGTATTTATAACTCTATATTCTACAACGTCTAGAGCCCCACGAACATAATCCTAAACAGCGAAGCCCATATTTCCAGCCACGGAGGACCCGGAGAGATTCTCGACCGAGGAGGAGGATGAAGTGGATGAGATGCTGGAGGCAGGGTTTTAGGTTTACAGTTGAAGCCATACCGTGCCCTAATGCTGACAGCATAAACCGGAAACCCTAAATGGTATAGGGTCAGGTGGATGTGTGTATTAAGGGTCTAAACCCTGAACCCTAACCCGTAATACCCCTAAACCCTAACGCCTAAGCCCCTATAGTGAACCCCAGAAAGTTGGAACATGGATTTAGGACTGGGATTCCCTAAACTTTACTTTAAGGGCATTGGGCACGTTGGACCCTTTGACATTACAAGGGTTATACAGCGTAGGGTTGGCTTTGAGGTAAAGACGTTTGTGGGTTCAGGGGCTCGGGTCCACTGGGAGCCTGTTGCAGTTCAGAATTGTCGGGTCGGGCGGAAGTGTTCCCGGGTCCCGCCATCGTGCAAGAAGGATACACCAAAACCTTGTCTCGGTTTCCGTGGCACAAGAGTTAGGGAACCGAGATGTTTAACATTGAGCCAGCACACTGCCAGCATACCCTTTTTGCCAAACTTGGTTTCGATAGGCACTCCTGGAGTCATAAGCCTTAAAGAGTCCGACAAATATGTCGAGAACCTACGATTACCTCAAGGTCATCACACCAGCATTCCTGGGTCTAGGTGATACATGGTCTGAGGATTCATGCGCGGTTGAGGGTAGAACAAGTTTCAGGTTAAGGTTTGGCGTCCTGCGGTGTGGGCCAGCTGCTGCCTAAACCCTAAACCCTAAACCCATGCATCTGTGCGTGTCTGTGCTCAGCCCAAAACCGCAAGTTCATGTAGGCCCTGAAGGAACAGTCTGAACGGGCCTAGGCTTTACAGAGGAGCAGGCTTCATTTATCCTTTTTTGCCGGCTCTGATATATATATATATATATATATATATATATATATATATATATACGCACACACATGTGTTGATTTATTTATGTATCGTGTATATGTGTGAATATATATATATATATATATATATTTGTATAATCCCACAGTTAATATATAGTTTCCCAGGATACTGGATCAGCGAGTAGGCTAAACCCTACAACCCGAAACTCGCAACCGGGGAGCTTGCGGCCTTTGGTAAGCCTTCCGAAAGCTAGCGAGTCCTGAAAGAGACCGCCTGCCAGAAGTCTTTCCTGCTGACCCCAAACCCTCAGCGTCTAAGGACTCGTAAACAAGGGCCTGTGATGGCCTGTGGTCCGACTATGCTGAGCTGCCTAAGAGCATATTCCCAGCGGGAGACCGGACATGAGCCCCATAAAACCTAAACATCAAACCCCGAACTCTAAATCCTTAGCCCTGCAGCCATACACCGGAAAGGATTGCATGATCGATGTGTGCAGTACAGGCACGTCAAGGGAGCTCCAGTTCTCAGAGGTTCAGTTCGGTTTAGGGCTTTGAGTTTGGAGTTTCAGGCCTCAGGGCTCAGGGAGTCTACTTCAAGGTTCCTGGACAGCCAAGATGTAAGCCTAAACCCTAAACCCAAGCACAACGAAACGACATCCGGTCTTGCCCAGTCCCGGGATCCTGTAAGTACAGGTTGCAGGTGCTGGAGTATGGTTCCTTTTTTCCTCCGCGTTTTGATAAGCTGCTATCGATCGTATAGGTGTTGAAAAAGAAGGAACAAGGGCCAGATGTTCAGACGCAATACAGGGCTAGTGAATCACCGATACTATTCCCGAGGGTGCCTGAATATAGCCTCGACGTTTGAAGCAAGCTTGGGGTGTTTCCTGGTTAGGCATTCTGTTCAGGGACGGGGCGGTGTGGTTCAGCGGGAGCCCAATATCCCTTCACTCAGGAATTTGGTTGACCCATTATATGAAGCCCTGACCCTAAACCTTTAAAATCATGCTAAGCATGCCCCAAAGAAAAGATCATGCAAGCAGAACGGAGCCGCAAAACACAGCCAGGCTGTAGTAGGGACAAGTGCATATCTTTATCGGCAGCCCGGCCCCTGCCCTTAAGCCCCGAAAGCCCTCCTTGAAGTCCCCGTTTAAGCCTCCCCTTAAGCCCCCCTGAAACCCTTCAGCCCCACCAGCGTGGACTGTCCCCGACGTCTTCCTGCAGTGAATACAGACGCTGGATCGAGAAAACCACTGTGGTCAAGGCAGCCTCCTGTGCCCGGTCAATGCCTGCTCCAGGAAGGCAGTGTATCGCGCAAAACTTGGGCGTCGCACATCCGCGCCCTGCTTGGCTGCCTGGCCCCCGCCATGGCCGCCACCAACATGCCGATGCTGTGGAAGCGTCTGGACCCGAACATCAATGTGCGCTACGGTGATCTTTGCCACTTTGACCTTTCGGCCGATCCCGTTTATCAACTTACGGCGGGCGACATTGATCTCGTCCTGATGGCGGCGTCGGGCATGCACGCCAATCTGGTCGTGGTCGAGCAGCATCACAATTGGCCCCAAAAAGGGCCTTACAGATTTCGCCTTGGCCCGGTCCAGGCGATTCGAGGCGAATCCCGCCTCCTCCTTCATATTCGTACTACCTATAGTCTCCATTGTAGTTCCTTTTTTTGTTAACCAGTTTTATGGCTAGGGTCCTACAATAGAGATTTTGGTTGACCAAAAAAAGGAACTACAATGGAGACTATAGGTGCTACAGTCTTTTTTTTCTAACCATTACGGCCTTTATACCATGGTCTTAAAGGGAACTCCAGAAAGTTGGAATATGGATTAATGGTAGGATCCCCTATAAATTACCTTAAAGGGGTTACGATAATGATATTCCAACTTTCTGGCTTCTACTGTACAACAATCACTGGAGCCAGAACCCCCGAGCCGAAATTAGTATCACCGTACACCCTTCTCCAAAGGCCGTATAGTACAGGGGCCCTAATACGTACCTATACTATGTCGGGGAGTTCCTTACTATAATTAATGTAGTATAATGGGCCCCAATATCCTATTCTACATAATTTAATTTTCCTTCTCCACCAGAGCCCTGTACCTGGGAATCCTGAACGCTCGACCTTGTAGGCCCTGAACCCCTAAAGGCCCAAGCCTTCAAGGAAGCCCTCGTAGAATCCGTTTTCGGACCCTCATGCAATCCCCTAGAGAATCCCTACAGACCCTGAGCCCTAAACTGGTTAAAGAGAACCCTGAACCCTGCACCCTAGGACTCCGCAGCCTTGAAATGAATCCCCGAAGCCTGCCACCCAGAGAGCCCAATACCCCTTAATCAAGGAATATAGCTTAAATCATAATATGAAGCCCCTAATGATTTAAGGTATATTCCTTAATTAAGGGGTATTGGGCTCTCTGGCAGGCCTTGCCGATGCCTTGAACTTGGCGCAGAACCTGGAAACTGAGAATCCCCTGATCGTGGCACGGACTTGCCACCGCCTCAGAGTCCTGTGGATTCCAGGTTTTGGAGCCAGGGCGCAGGGTGCAGGGTTCAGGGTTTAGGGTTTAGGGTTGAGGGTTTAGGGGCTTAGGGTTCAGGAGTTCAGGGTTTAGGGGGTTTAGGGCTTAGGGGCTGAGGGCTCAGGATTCAGGAGTTCAGGGTTTCGGGCTTCAGGGTTCAGGGTTCGGGGGTTTATGGCTTAGGAATGTGCTTAAGGATCGGTTGGTTGGTTTAGGGCATTGTTTGCTGGATGGAGATACTTTGCGACTGCTGCAGTTTATCTCAAAACTGGCTCGACTTGTCTATGAAACTGCATGATGTGCTTCGCTCATGCCGTCGGACTGGTATCCATCAACATGCTGTTGGGTTTGGAGAGAAGGGTTCTCTCCTAAAACAGGGCTTAAACAATGTTCGAAACTTTGTTGGGGGCTCCATATTACAATTGTAGAATAATGTGCCCCAAAACCCTATTCTAATTATGAAGGCCCCTATCTCCCTTAATCCCTTATAGTACCCTTACAGTAGCCCTTAAAGGAACCCTTTAAAGGAGCCCTATGCTAATTATGAAGGCCCCTAATTTTTTGGGGTCCAGGCCTTCAGTTCCAAACCCCGCAGCTCCC